CCCCAGGTCACCTAAATCTAACGCAGGCTCTGCTGACTCAACAGTGCAGCTCAGCCCCACACAGCTCAGGTCCCAGCCAGCCAGCACCAGGAGACCTGTGTGCTGGACAGTGGAAACCAGAGGAGTATGACTCCAAAGCTAGAGAAGAAGGACCCCAGTGGTGAAGTTCATTCACTTGTCATCACTCTCATAGCACCAATAGCTGGTGATGCCATCAGGAGGAAGTAGAGGGACCCACTGTACCTTGGAATGGATGTGTAGACTGATGATGTTCTCACACAGAGGGACCTTGAAAAGGTTTATCACTTCATGGAGGTATCTGTTGGGAGCAGGGCAGGCTTTTCAACAAGTAAGTCATGATGGGGTCCCCCAGGTAAGGACACTCATTCATGTTTTTATTTTGCATCAGTGATGGGGCCTGGGAGGATCCTGCTCATGGGAGGGGCTCGTGTGGATTTAATGATCCTCTTTCTTCAGTTTCCCAGGTGGACAGGAAAAAAGAGAGGGATGAATCTTAACATGTCAACGTTAAACATAAAAAATAGAGCCTGATTGCTTATTCCACTGACAACGATAAAATCTGCGTGAGCACAAGGAGCTACCCACCATTGTGGGTAGAAAACAGTTCTAAGTCTTCAAACAGGAGAATAATGAGCACCTGTGAGCACTGATAAGGAAAAAAAAAAACCACAGAATTAACCAGAGGCCTTAGGTCAAGGTGAAGGGTGGACACTGCCAACACTGCAAGGTCATCAGCTTGTTCTAAAGACTTGGGTGAGCTTTCTGCTTCCACAGAGCAGGAACTCCCTCAGGGTGATGAGGATCCTCAGGTGGGGGAGCTCTATTGGAGCATCCTCCCAACTGGGTGGGGTCATGATTGGATCCTTTAGTTGCTGCTACGGATGATGCATGTGTCCCTCCAATACTCACACATTAAAATCTAATACCCAAGGAGATGGTGTTAGGAGGTGGGGTCTGGGGACTTGCTTAGGTTTTGAGGGTGGAGTTCTCATGAGTGGCATTAGTGCCTGTTAGGTGGCTCAGGAGGCAGTGTAGGAAATAAAGAGAGCTGAGTCAATCAGAAAAGAAAGAAAAGGAAAGGTTTTATTCTTCGTCCCCGGGCGATACCCACCACCCCAAAGGTGGGGCCAGTGAATTCGTGCCAGCAGGGAAGGGGGGTTTCTTTTTATACAGGTGTTTAATGAGGGGCAGGGACATGAGCTGAGTAAGTTCCCACTGTAGGGGCCAGCAGGGTATTCAGGGAGGAGTCAGTATCTGTGTGGGGGTTGTCGTAGATACCAGGAAGGAGCCGGTATCTGTGTCTGGCACACTGATATGTTAGAAATTCCAGGGTGGGTCCATTATCTCCCCACCCATCTGCATGCATCTGATCCTGGGCTCCCTCCCTCCAACCTAACAGTGCCCTTAAAGAAGGAGGCTTCCTTCCAGTGATGGGTAAGGGCAGCATTTCTCTGATGTTTCCTTCAACAGACAGTCTCCTGGTGGAAGGTCAGGGGAGGCTCTGACACAGCTGTGGTGGAAAGGCAGCGTGAGAGCTGGGGGAAGGCATGAGCCCTGTCAGTACCTCCCACATCAGCACACAGCAGGGTGGATGGTCACTGGAGGAGAAATCTGTAAATGCCTGGTCCTCCCAGGCACCAAGTCACAGGGGACGGCTGATATCCTCCTGACGCCGTGGACACCAGGCCACATGGGAGGACCTTTGGCCAAGAGGCTTTAAGGGTGCATTTAGGTTTGACCATTTTAACTTCAGGATGTCATTCTCTCAAACATTCCAAACATTGTCTGTAATAATGACAGTGAGTACTTGAATCCTAGTGTCTCCCTACAGACCATTCCTTGAATAATGTTTCCTGTGATGTGAGCCCTAGGATGAGTCACTTGCTGTAAAAGTTCATCAGCCATTGGTGGGAGGGGTGTGAAGAGGCTGAACCCATAGAGAATCTGGACCAGATAGAATGCTCTAAGGGTGCAGGCTCCTCTCTCTCTCTCTCTCTCTCTCTCTCTCTCTCTCTCTCTCTCTCTCTCTTTCTCTCTCCTCTGATGGACCCACAACCACAGAGTGACATGGACAGTGGTTATGTCTGGATGCCACAGAAGAGCAGCCTTGCAGGGCCCCAGCCATGAGAGCTGGAGGTGGGGAGGAAGCTCTCTCTGGGTAATGACACGTGGACAAGGACAAACGAAGAATTTAATCTGAGCTGGAATATCCTGGCCCTGTGGGTGGGACATGATTGTAAATTACCTAGGATGTAATGATGATGGTGGTATTAACAACAACAGCCACACTGCAGCACAAAGATGAGCCACCCCTCATGAACATCCCCACACTCACAGGAGTTGCTTCTCCCTCTGAGGATAAGAGGGACTGTCCCCCAGGGACTCCACTCCTCTGTCCATAGGAGGAGGAGCCAGTGCAAATGGGGGGCTCCTTGTGCTGATAAGCCTGGCCTGGGCCCTTTTCTTGCACCTCTGGGAGAGCAGCCCATCCCTGGGACCTGCAGTCTCCATTTTCTCCAGGAGTCAACCCAGAGGAAGCACCATGATGTGTGGGCTAAGCTGGGCTCTTGCTTTGATGCTCTTACATGGTAACTTTATGGAGAAGCTGGGCCTTGTGTGTATGTGAGTGTGAGTGTGTGTGAGTGTGTGTGCTTGCTCCTAACGACAACTTTCTTGTCTACAGGTGTCCAGTGTGAGGTGGATTCTGGGGGAGGCTTGGTGAAGCCTGGGGGTCTCTGAGACTCTTCTGAAAAGGCTCAGGATTCACATTCAGTGACTATTATATAAACTGGATCCGGCAGACCCCAGGAAAGGGATGTGAGTGGGTAGGTTTCATAAGAAACAAAGCCAAAGGTCACACCACGGAATATGCTGCATCGGTGAAAGGCAGATTCATGACCTCCAGAGATGATTCCAAAAGCACTGCTGACCTTCAAATGAGAAGTCTGAGAGCTGAGGACACAGCCATGTATTACTGTTCAAGAGACACAGTGAGGGGAAGTCAGTGTGAGCCCAGACACAAACCTCCCTGCAGGAGAGGCTGTGACCACCAGGGGGCTCGCAGGGTCACTGAACACAAGGACCATCCCAGTAGCAGGTGCAGTTGGAGCTTTAGGCTGGTGACCTGTGTGGATTCCTCGTCATGTCACAGTTTCCCTCAGGGAACCTCTGGATTCCTGATTCTGTGTTTACCTCTGATGCCTCTGAGTTATAAAATCTGTTGTAAACAGAGACAACTTTCTCACATGAACAAGAGTCAGAGAGTCTTTTTCAGACACCCTTGTGCCAAGTAAAAATTAATGAGAAAAATTCTGCCCAAGTTACCTGAGCCCAAAGAGAGATTCTGATGACTCAACAGTGCAGCTCAACCCCACACAGCTCAGGGACCCAGCCAGGAAGCAGCACAGGGGCTTTTGGACAGAGGGCATCAGAGTCATGTGAC